ATCACACAGTACAGCAGTGTTCGTTGCAGACACACTTGGCAGAGATATGCACTCTACTGCGTGCACCTCTATAGTTTGAGCATGCAACACCCCCACTAACAAGTCACTACATACATAAATAAATAATGGTTTTCTGTGTGTTTTCAGCTTCTGACGGGGATTACTGGCGCTTGCTGAACCCGGGAGAGTACAGAGTAACAGCCAAGGCTGAAGGTTACAGCCTCACTAGTAAGAAGTGCGAGGTGGGCTACGAGATGGGCGCCACCAGCTGCAACTTCATCATTGGACGCACTAACCTGTCCCGAATCAAAGAAATAATGGAAAAATTCAACAAGCAGCCAATCAGATTGCCAGTCAGGCAGCTCCAAGTTCGCAGGTCCAGAGAGAGGCGCCTGGGAACATAATGACTGGATGAGGAGGAATTAAAAACAAACATCTACTCTGATCAAACTTAGGTCAACTCCAAGCCTGGTTTTGGATGCCCTTCAGATTCCTCCAGAGTGCTGTCAGTATTAGTGTGGTTGAAAATGTGGATTAATTTAAACGGGATGCTTTAATAATTGTCTTTCTGTTTTGTTTTGTTTTTTCCAGGCATAAGCTCTCTCTGTTTTGATTCCTCTCATCTCAACTTTTCTTCTTATCCACTATATTCTGAAAAAGACTAAGTTCATGTTCATGACCCCTTTTTTCAATTTATATTATATTATAAATTATATGATTATTAAGATATCTACCACCATTCCTTGTGACATCAACTATAAACTCTGACAGAATCTAATCACATTAGAAATCTGAAATACAAGTTACGGATAAGGATTCTGTTTTAGCATCTACTTTTAACCACTGGAGGAATGGCTATGACTTTCATTATGTACATACGTATGTAACTCAGTTATGTAAACCATTACAAAAGCTTTATTACCTTGCACTTGTACAATCTTTGGTCCTTTAAAAAAAACTTTTGGACTCAGTGACCATTTGTGTGTCATTTTGTTTTTTATACACTTTGCTTTTGGCCATTTATTAAATAAAGACCATGTTTGCACAAATTGAAACTGGTTAATTGCTCATGTGGAAGTGTGTTGATTTTATTCATGGTATCTATCAAGCTTTTTGTAACTTTCATTGAGCTTAATTCAGATCAAAAGGGTTGGTAACGCTTTATTCCATAATCTAAAAAAAAATCCAAGAAGTTTCAAGGAAAAAACTTTGTAATTTGTTACAATTTATAGAGAAAAGTGTATCAAATTTGTTCAGTGTTTAATTTATTTTTAAATAATATAATGAAATAATAAAACATTAGAAATGTCAATGTTTGGCAAACATAGTTTAAAATACTGTATATGGAGAATAATTTTTCCAATTACAAATGAAAAATGTATGAATATAATTTACAGGCCATAAAGCATTACTGTAAAACGTTTAGAAAACACACATAAAAATAAAAAGTAAAAGTAGCAGCACAGTGTGTTGGAGGCCAAATTAATAAGACAGCTAAACTGTAGTACATATAAAAAGTAAAGAAAAAACGGTGAACAAATACACATAAATACACAAGTATTAAATAGAATATATTCAATTTAAAGTAAATTAAAATAAATCAACTGACACATACAGGAACATCTACAGTAGGTCTGCAATGGAAAATAAAATACATCCATTTTTTTGTTCTCTCCTTAGAGATGTGATATGCCACATCAAAATGACCAGGAATCAAAGGTTATACATTGATGAATAAAGTCAAAGGATTCGCAGTAGCGAGTGACTACAATGTTACATGATTGATATTTAGAAATGAACACTGGTTTTACATTCGCTCCTGCTTGATTGAACATCCCAAATGGAAAATAAACTTCATTTCATTCTGTAATCACTGTGGCTAATATTAAGCATCCTCTCATTTGATGTCTGCAGTGAAATTGTATTTTGGGAGATTCGAGGCGGAAAGGCTCTAATTATCTGAGCTCTGCTGGGGCTTTTATGGATCACTGGCTTATTCTGACAACAACGCAATGCAGCCTTCCGTCTCTCTGGCCAGCATGCAATTATAGGAGGACCTCAACCTCACATCTCCTCCTCCAAAGGTTATTGATCAGAGGATCACACCTGTCATCGCCTCAGAGCATTGGGGAGTAGGACATGTCAGAGCTCGTTAATATTAAAATGCTTTTGGCAGCTCTGTACTATAACCAGTGACTCGAAATGTGTACATCATACAGACGGTGGAGTGTTCCGAATAAAAAAAAGTTCCATCTCTTCATTTCATTCCTGTATGAACTGACAAACTAGCAAGCTAATCGTGACACAATAGCCTAGTTTCCATCCAAATGCCTCGCACATTTTAAAAGTCGCTACATCATGTCACAACCTTGCATATCGGTGAAATCATAACGTTACAATTTTTTACATATATAAGCCTATGTACAAGAATCAATCAAATCAAAGTCATTTTTTAAAATAAAATGTATAATTTCCCTGCAATGCAGAGAAGAGATGCGGTTGTAGTTGTGCTTGAGGAACCAGATGTGAGACGTTTGACAGTTCAAAGAGGGGATGTTCATTAATAGTAAGAACTTGTAAGACAAATTCAGGTCCAAACTTCTCCCATATGGTCGACAGGAAATCCCAGTGAGTTACGGTGGGTGTGGATCCTGGTGGGATGGGGGAGGGGAGGGTGTTCAGTTTGCAGGGTGTGAAGTGCAGCCGCTGTGGCCGGCAGCTGTGATACCATACACATATGTGGGAAGAACAGGCACCAGCCGACCTTGTCAGCGGTTGAAAGGCCAACGCTTCTTCAGAAGTCGGTCCAGCCTTTGAAGCGTTGCGAGGGCCGCCTTGATATCATAGTGAGTCGCCATGCCGCGTTGGTAAACCAGCTCTTAATCTCTCTCCCCTCCGCGGCTCCGAAGCCTCTGAGACAGATTAGACTCTCTGCTGGCTCGATGGACATCAAAGACGACAACCAGATCAGCAAGCGGAGGATTGAAGTTGAAAAGTTGTCAAGGTTTGGACATATAATACTGTGTTAGAATTTGCCAATTGAACACAAGGTACAACCATTTCACAGCAGTCCATCTAATAGTTATTTCACTCAAAATAACTAATGTCGACCTCATGGTGGCGCTAGAGGCAAAGTGGAAGGATCATTAAAGTCACCAGACTTTATCTTCCCGGGACCATGAATGTCAAAACGACATTTCACAACAATCCATCCAATTGTTGCCATCTCCATGGCCGTGCTGCTAGAGTGGCTCAAAATAAGTAACTTCACACACCAGATGGTTTGTTTGCATGAAACCATCTGAGAAGCCGTCATTAGAAACAGTTTGGAAAAGGGCTAGCGCTTTCAAGAAATACTCAGCAGGTGATTGGATGATCCATCTGTCAATCAAACTCTTGCCAAAGCCAGTCAGGACGAGGGCAAACACATTTCCCCTCAAGAAAAGCCCTCAGTTCTAGTCTTTGTTCTTCTCTCAGGGAATATCCCAATTCTGATAGAACTGATGCCATTGTAGAATCTACGCTAATCTCTTTGGGATCCACTGTTGTTTAGAACGGTCACCTCTTCACACACAGAAACCACACCTGTAGCTGCCAGTAGCACCTTACTTGACGCCGATTGGTGCGGTCACTAGCTAACCGGACACAAATGCATTACTTGGAGCGTGACAATATGGATTTTTGTGTGAAATGTGACCCTGCAATACTCGTGTGATATTGCGAGAATCCAGCTGCCGTGCTAGCTAACAAAATAAGACCCAGGCTGTAATACACAGAATTATCCTTTATGCAACATATTTGCTTGGTCTGTGAACCTGTCAAGAAACTGAAACTCTACAACAAATCCAAAAAGCGCGAGTATCTCTGTTACTACCTGCTGGTGTGAATTGGGCACAGATCAGCAGCGTGTGCACAGTATGAGTGAATAACAGTGAAGACGAGAAACAGTCCTGTTAAACGGCAGCTCCGGCGCAGATGTGACAGGTTTAGGTATAACGAGCAAACCGACTCCACCCAACGTCATCACACACAGCTGGATGCTCTGGATTTAGTGCTGCATGCTGCAGGAGAAGTCGTCTTGGTGATATTTAGTTGGAGAAATAAATAGTACTCTCTTCATAGCATAATAATTTATTACACATATGCAAATGTCTTGCTGAAATACCATCAAATTGTTAGGATCCCTCACAGCCGATATATGCACCTGTCAGAAAAACCATAATCCAGATATTTATCCAGATGTATATTTATCCCCCCCCCTCCCGGTTTGATAAAAATATGATAATTATTAAGATTACAAAACACAATTAAAACCAAACAAATATACCTACTTGGTGGAGGTACAGGGACATTTTGGAGCAGCATCCTCCCATATGTGATAACTGAGCATACACACAGTCAAACAGAAAGCATATGGTGGCATATGGGAGAGAAAGTATGGAAAGTGGGATAATGAGCACCACATGCTTTTTGTTTATTGATATATGAAGCACATATTCACACTGGATCCTCCATCACAATTCTCACAAATTCACCTACATGTCATTCACGTGTGGAGGCAAAAGCCAAGGTGAGGTCTGTTGGGGTTTTGGGGTTTGAATGACACAAATCATCATTCATAGTCTTCATTTGAGTCTTTTATTTTTATATTTTTGGAGGAGAAAAAAATCCTACAAACCAACATTCCTTCTTTGGCCTTTTCATACACTTTTCTGTCGTTTTCTCTGTACCTGTCAAAATAGATGTTATTCTACGCTGGATAAATGTGTCATTTTATATTCACACATTTAGGAGGAACATTTATCTTCAATGCATCGCTGCACTAAATCTTGATTCCTGGAACCAGGTCAAAGGGTTATGAAGAGAAAACAAAACATTCCTTTGTTTAAAAGAGCGAGGTCTTCACTTTTCACTTTGAGTTGTGGTTTATTTCTCACTGGGGGGGGGGGGGGGGGGGGGGGGGGGGGGGGGGGGGGGGGGTCAGTTGACAAAGTGGGTTGAGGCCAACCATGATTAAGCCGCGTGATACCATCAGTGCCACCCACCTGAAGATAATCGCTGGCTCCTAGGGTGTGAAGCGTACAGAAGCTCAGATGTGGCCAACTCAGCCAGACACTGATGTTTCATTACCACCTGTGCTGCGTTGTGAACAGAAAAATCGCTTTCCACTGGCTCAGACTGATTGTAGGTGGAAACAGTCTGAATTGCTGCAGACACGAAAGCTGACTCACTCTTGACAAAATCCTTTCCTTTGTTTCTTAAAGACGTGATTGCGGATTTATCACCGGTTGCGTTGCCGGCAACCTTTACTCTGGTTTTCCGGTTAAGTTGTGTTGATTTTATGAAGTGTCGTAGCTTATACTTCTGTGCCATAGGTCCACTGCTGTCCAAAAACTTTTAGAAACACATAAAACCAAAAGCCACTCCATTATATTTGGGTGAGACATAACTTCACTACAGTCAATATAACCAGCGCAATTTATTTTGAGAGAAAACGCTGATTTTCTAGTTTGAGAAACGGAGATAAAAAAAGCAAACTGGCTGCCTTCATTCTAAGATTTCATTGTAAAGCTCAGGTAATTTATTATTCTTACTCAAGTAAAACAATTATTTGTTAGTATTCAACAACAACATATTCCGTGCTGTCAAAGCATCATGTGAGATAGTTGCTGAACACTAGAATTACTTTGTTTTTAGGTTTGTTTTAAGTTATCCATTTGAGAGGTCTACCAGAACCCAATGTGCATAACTGAAACCACATTAAGTCGTGTAAATTCAGGAATTTAAAATTTCCATCACCACCATAAAAACCAAATATTCTCATCTTATTATTCAAAGATGGAAACAGCAGTCTTCTTCATCATCATCATCACCACCACCACCGTCATGAACTGTTTGTTCATGACGTCTGTTTGTTTGTCCCAGCCATCTGCGGCAGCAGCAGCATCGAGGCAGTGGTTTAATAAATTAGGTAGTACATAACAAAACACTTCAGGCAGCCAACTCAGTTACCATAACAAAATGAGGTATATTACACTCAGTTCACTGAGACCCATCAACAACAGTTCAAGCTCAATTTGCATGTGAAGCAGCACATTCTGGAACACTCAAACGAATACAGTGTCGTCATAAATTACGTGTACGTATATATCAAAAAGACACAAAAATACTTTTCACGTTGTCATTTGTCTAAATCTGTCCACATATTATATTGTTTCATGTTTAGCTTGTTTTTCACCGACTCATCATCATCATGTGAGAAAAATGACTATACTCTACGTCAGTGCAAAACATCAGCGAAAAAAAACAGGTTACAGAAATGCAGATTCTAGATGGTTATGTGTTGATGAACAGAAGTGAATAAGGCATTGATTGACCCCTATCTATACATCTATGTCGCAATGCATCATATATCCAAGACAACCATTTCTCCTCTGTATTGTCATTAGATCCTTAAACCTATGAACGCAAAATAAAAGCAAAAATTCTTCAATTATTAATTACATAAATATTTGTTTCTAACTTCGCTTATGTTTTTAGAAAAATGAACTGCAGCTACTAATACTTGGCTCACTGGGCATCATTGATCAGATTTGGCATAGTGTGATACATACAGTATCTCACTGCTGGCCCCGTTCATGTACCATCTAAACGCATTATGTATCCACCATGACATAACTACGGCGTTGAAGCGCCTCTATCGAAGGCAAGTCACCTATATATCAAGTGGAGCCTAGTCAAAAGCCCTCTGATACAGAGCTGCCTGTCTTCTGATACAGAACAAAAAAAACAAAACGAATGTAATACAACAGATCACACTTTGTCAGTCAAGAGGACTCTTGGGCTTATAGGTCTTCAAGAAGACCTGGAAACTACTTCACTGTACAAGTAATGGGACTAAATAAACATACAATATATCTATATATTCAAAGTGAGAGTAAAAAGATGATATTGACATCCTTTTATAGATATCCATCTCGTTAAAAAACCATATACACATTTCCTAAAAACAGTGTAAATGAAACAGAAGTCAGAGACTATTTCTGTGATTGCTATCATATACCACAAGATGCCATTAGTACGTGATCACTCCGCTAAGTGACGGAAATAAAATACTTTATTTTTTTTGACATTTTTCTCTTCCTTGCCCATGTCCTTACTCCTCTCTGTGAGCACAAACCCGGCCAAATACAGTCGATCACGTTCCACTTGACCAAACAACCTGAGGAGCACACGTCAGTCATCATGACGGCAAAGGCAGCCAGTTTAAAGGCCTATTTTTTAAATTTTTTTTTAAACGTTGGCAATGTTTTTACGCTTGTGATACACAGAAAGACACGGTTTTTTTTTTTATCCTTCATTGGCCCTTAAACTACAAAGGCAATACTACTACAAAAATAAAAGTACTTTAAATGTGTTGAATCAGGAGTGTGTTTTACCCCATCAAGTCTGAAATAACCTGAGCCTAAATGTGCAGCAGCACTCTCTGCTGTATGTTTTCATCTGTAATACAATTTGGGGACTGACAAGTTTTGGTTTGGCTAGTTTTCAGTGCTACATATATTGTGAACATATCATTTGCCACTTGCAAACAATTTGCACAGTCTAAAAAAAGACATACAGCCATTTCCTATCCTTTTTGTTTTTTAAAGATAATATAACTATATACCAGAGTAATGTAAAAATAATAACAGTATATATTATATCAGACTGAAAGATTTCATAATGAGGCTACAAACTGGTCGATCTTCTTGGATGAGCACATCTGTCTCTCCAGGTGGATGTGAAATCTGCCGTTGCTTATTGTCCTCTCAAGCTCACTGCACTGATCTGTTCTGGGAACTCAGTATGCAAACACAGTGGTATTCCTGTGCAAGGATTTGCCCTTGTCTGTAGTCACATTTTTTTTTTTCCATTTTTTTTTTTTTGGCTTGTCAGACCAAATTTCAGCAGACGTGTACAGGAACAACCTTTAGTTCTCTTCTTCATCGAAGATAAATCAGCCTCATATTTCCCCGACAGTAGCCGAGATCGACCCTCGGTCCCTGTCACTCTGCAGCGGGTATGCTGTGTACTTGGGTCTCGTGCCCACGCCCGGATGCGTTCAAGGAGCTACGCTTCAGCAGCCTATTGATGATGTCGGTGCACGTCTTCTTGTACTGGTGCCGGAGCAGAGAGTACACGAAGGGGTCGCAGGCTGCCTTGCTGTAAGTCAAGCACTTGGAGACAATTCCCCAGTGGGGGTTGATAGGCACTGCTGGAAATAACTCCACAATCCTGCAGGCAAGCATAAAGAGAGGGTAGTGAGCGAGGGAGAGCAATGGGGGAGGCACGCCAACAAGCTTGAAAAGGCGTGCGTGCCCTGAGCTTGTTATGCTGAAATAGAAATGCATTTGCAAGACATTGTTGCACACAACATTTGTTTTGTTGTCGTTGGGAGCAAAGGGCATCTTTTCTCCTTTAGTTATGTAAAGATTATGTCTTAAGTTATTGATAAAATTAAAATGTCTGCAGCAGTCAAGTGAAACTACATGCAGTTTCGCCCTCCTCTCATGCGTGTGGATTTACAGTGTGAGACTACTTTTTATCTCACTTCTCATTTGCAGCCAGCAGCATAAATGTCAGGAAAAGAATAAAGGCAGCACTGGAAGAATAAAACAGACCTGTCATGTCAGTAATGAGTGTCTGAAAACCAGCCAATTAACTCAGATTGTTATTCAATACATTATTAGACTTAGGGCTGAGCAGAAAATCATAAAGGACAGTGAGTTCTTCCAGCTGTCTGAAAACACTGTATATTTTATTTAAAAGAGCTTTTCCTGTTGTCTGTATCACAAAGTGACTCATAAAAACATACAATTGGTGTTGTCACACAATTTTTTGTCAAGTATAAAATAATTTTACCACACATGGTGTCATAAAATGTAAAAAAAACTAAATTGGCTGATCCGCTTCTTCTGCACTCTGTATGATTATTCAGCCCACAATCAGGCTCTGTCAGCACATTAACACTGGCCTTATATGGGCCAGTAGCCATTACTTGCATTTGCCAACATACTCCACAGGACCAGAGCAAACAGCAGGTTAAGTCAGCTGCCACAGCGCACAGCGGGGCTTTCACTATTCACATGATGACCCTTACAACAAATGGGCATCAGAGAGGCAGTGCAGGAGCTTTTAGCATAATATATGCATGTTGTACTTAGTAAACTGCCATTTGTAGAATGAGAGCTTGTACATGGCTGCTATGGCCATTCATTACTACACAGCAGATTGTCAGTGTTCTTTGCCTGAGTGCATGAAAAACTGCATTTATGGCAACCATGTTTTTTTAAATTTTATTTTTTTAAGTCCAACTTCTTCCATTTAAGATTGTAATGAAAGATATTTACAAGATAAAACTTAATTCATATCCTGTTTGACACTCATCCAATTTTCATCTTCATCCTTTTCTCATTTGGTTGAAATGATTACATAAAGAGTCAGTTAACCTAAATTACAAAACAAATAGTCCATGCTACAAACTCATTTTGGGCCTGCTTTTAGTATATATAGTGTGTCCTCACTGGAAAAATGACAAATAAAGAATGCTATAACCAGACAGACACTTGATTTCAGAGACTGCAGCTGATGGATACTATTCTCCCACAACGCAATGCCTAAAGCAAATGGAGCTTCAGCTGTAAAATAATTCAACTGAATTGTGGATGTTTAACTTGCAGTGATCTTCCAGAGTTGTAGTTTGATGGACATCTGAAGTTACACATATTGGGTCATTTCCTGTTAATATAAAGCAGTTAAATATGTTAATATTTTGCTATATGAACTGTGATGATTAGTATTTGGTATCGTTGTAGAGTTAGTGTAGAGGTCAAAACTTCAGCGACATTACATTGAACCACAACGCGTTTTGGCTTGTTGTCTTATCCACAGCTCCTGTTTTTGGAGTTAGTGTGCAAGATATCAACATACCTAATCATAGTATCAACAGGAAATTACA